AACATTGCACATTTTGACGTCAGACCTAGGTTTTACTGCCCTTGGATTGCATATATATGGCCCAGTAGGTGGGAACTGGTGCTGGATTCAGAAGAAGTATGCCGTATATCGTTGGGCGTTATCCTTTGGGTGGCGCCTTTTGATATTCTTCTTGACAGTCGGCATCTATACTGCCATTTACATTAAACTGAGACGATTATTCGGCCGCTTCCGTTTTTCGGAAAATTCTATCGAAGCTGTTACCACAGGCCGGAGCCGCCGGACACAGACTGTGTTATCCAGCGAAGATCAAAAGCCTCCACCAGAGCAGTATATCATGAAGACGACGTCGTTTACCGTTTCACACGACCGGGAGGATAATCGGGGCTTGGCTAGCGATTCATCGTCAACAGCACCGATCAACGACCGAAACGATCAGGTCGATGACCTCAACTTTGCCTCATCACACAACGCAGCTATCGGAGGAGACCATACTACAGGCTTGAGAGAACCGGACGTGTGCGCCGAACCGCCAAAGCTCCCGCCACCACCAAACCTGCGGCGTATGCTATTGTTGAACGGTTATCCAATCGGCTATCTCATTCTCTGGACGCCTGGGATTGTGAACCGACTGATCGAGATACAGGGTGGCACCTCGCCAAACTGGCTCATTGGTCTCCTGGCGTCTTCACAGTATATTGGCTTAGTACACGCTTTCACGTACGGCTACAACGAGCAAATCGGGCGTACTCTCCGATCTTGGACCAATTTCCGGCGGAATAACCGTAGGCTCGGAGAATAGGGGATTCGAGAACCACATATGACCCGGCACGGCTTTCAACCGCATCTTGACAGCCTTTGGCGACATAGCGAGCGATTTACTTGGCACCTGTTGGGCATGATTTTCCTTAGGTGATGGACGTATAATTTTCAATTATTTAATACCAAGTGTAAAAACAACCTTGTAGATTCAGCCTTGTTCGAGCACGTTTCGTTGGGCTGTGCGAGTTCTGCATGATATGTTCATATTCTTCTAGTTTACTTCTCTTCATCCTGGCTTGTTAAGCCGGGTGGCTGTGTTGGTTAATAGCAGGTTGGCAGCCAGGACTCAGTACACTGAATTCCATGTTCAGCTTGCAGATGCGACCAACAACGACGAATCAGGCTCAGTCATACTAGTTGGCGCTTAGCACCATGGCCGGTGTGATCCACTCTGGAGTTGGACCTATCAGACGTTACGCCACACCGTCAAGTGTAGAGCATTAGCGAATGCCGATAGGAAGGGCAAAGAAGTTGAGCATGTCGTCACTGATAACTTGGGCACTCAGAAATATTCGGGCACATAACTTACCGGTCGATGCCCTCAAGTCATCGATAGTTTTTAATGTGCATCTTCTAGGTGAAAATCTACCCCTTCCATCTCATATCATGGAAATGTAAAACTGGCACAACTTCTCGATCCACCTCCTCAGGCTTAGCTGAGAGTACTTCAGTCTCCGTGGGCTCTACAAACTCAACAGAAGATGTCTCAAAATGTCGTTAAAAAATTCTTAATCCGAAGGGTATCTCGAATATTCAGCTCTGCCACATGGCTCGATCCGACTTGTGCAGATCTAAAGTGTACCATCGCCAATTGACCAAACGGCAGACGATATCATGATGAGAGATGACAGTGATACAGACTAGGACTTCACAGGTTACATTATAGAATTCTTCAAGGTTAGAACCGAAATAGAGATGAACGTAGAGCTTCAATCTCATCAGTCAGTACATATTTGTGAATGTAACTTTCTAACGCACGTGTAGCTAATGACTTGCTGACTCTATGCTATTTCACAGAAGAGGGACAATACGAGTTGGGCTCATCTGTCGGATAATGTGTGGAAATAGGTTCTGCGTGCAGACTCCTGCAACCCCTATGGCAGGCATCTTCTACAACATATATCTGAGCTTCAGATTCCGTCTGAGTGACGATTGCCCAAGAGTACAAGATGTCAGACAAAGCGTATCTGATGGCAGACTCAAGCTAGCGCTTATCGGCCGGCTTCTCGAAATGGAACCTGCGTATGGTGGACTCCATCCGAGACTTCAGGATCCGGGCCGCGGGGGCGGGGGGGGGGGGGGGCTGGCATCAGATCCAAAGTGGCCGAGCTCCTTAGAAACCAGCCTGAGATCTCACACGCCCTATAAAGGTTGATTGGGGCAGTCATTTGCGCTGAATTTTGTTGCTCGACCAGATGTGTTTCATGGACTTGCGTAAACGGTAGGTGCGTGGATCCGCTGAATCTATATACGGGTCAAATTATTCCCTAAAGGCAAGATGAGATTTGCATGCTATATGGCCTGAAGTCGCCAGCGATTCTCAGAGGCATACGTAACATGGCTCTGACACGTTTGAAAACTTCTGGATGTTGCCATCGTATTTGATATGGTTGCTGACGTTGTGGGAATGGATGAAATTTATGTGAATCGGGAGACGAGGCCAATATGCGTCACTCTGAGAATTGAGATTCCGAACCAATAGCGGAAGAGCATTGGGTGATGGCAAGGCTCAAGGTGCTTTCAGAGGCTCGATGAAGTGAACCTTTTGAGCGAAACTGATGAAGTGGTTGGCTAGCAACATCCTAGACCATTGCTCTCGTGATGCTTCACAGCCGACATCAAATCAACCAACCACGGTTCGGGTTCACTCCGTTTGTGAGTCACACATAGATCAGACTAAACGGAAATAAGAAGCTGTGTGAGATGCATGAATCCTTCGACCCGTCACCCCGTTTTCCCCCTCCCGAGTTCCTGGTTTTGTTCAGTGAGGCAGCGAGGCTGAGTCCAAGGTGCAATTTGCTCCTTTGCTGCTGTTGGTGCCGTGCGGTCCGTGCCGCAGAGGGAAAATGGGCGAAACGAGAATTGGAAAGAGCCAGGGATGGAAGAAAGCAGGCACGCGACCACCTGCCACAGCAACGGCGATTCACCGCAGCTTACTCCGTCTCACCTCATCAAAATCTCACTCACCTCTCAATCTCATTTTCACTCTCACATTCACTTTCACATTTACTCTCACACTCTTGTTCACTTCATCACTCAGAATTTCGTCTCAAAACAACCAGAGCGGCCCATGATTCCCTGACACATCATCACCATCATCCTTCCATCCACTCTACAAAAGGAGAGCCGCAGCCGCACCCAGATGATTGAGGGATCGCCAAGCTAAACCACCCACACCAACCAAGCATTCAAAAGGTCCATGATGCTGCAGCGTGCATGCCGCCCCAATGCCGGGGCCTCCCTCCGGTTCCATGCCCCCGCGCGCACCATCCGCGCTTCGGCTCCGCGTTGGACGCGTCCAAATTCGAGTAGCACCGGCCCGTCACCAAGCTCCTCCTCCAACTTACCAAAGTACGCACTCGGAGCTGCTAGCGTCGCCGCCGGCTGGTTCATCGCCGACGTGGTGCGAGATCGCGGAAGTGGCAAGGGCAAGGCCACCAGCATCCCTTCGAGCCTGAAGCCTGGCACTCTTCCCAGCCTGGGATCCGGACCCGTTGACTTGGATGCCCTGGCCAAAACACCCGTTGATGGGGGCAGCTTCGAGACTGCGGACGCGAAGCTCCGTGAGGATGTCTTTGTGGGATCTTTCACTGCTGAGGGCAAGCACACCCACGTCCACGCCGCGAGAGTCGCCAGCAACCACCCTGTCGAGGACGTCATGACATTCTCCCTTGGCCCGGGTGTTGGAAGCTCTGAGACATTGTACAACGGCGTCTATGATGGTCATGCGTGAGTCTAGATGTCATTTTCGCCTCTCCAACACTGCTGATACTGACTGAATCAGCGGATGGGCAACCTCGCTACTGCTCAAGAGCGCCCTTATCCCTGCCGTATCCTCCTCCATCGCTCAACTCAGCCGTGGCACCGAAGACGCAGCAGTCGAGGCAGCCATCGTCAAGGCTTTCACCAATCTCGATGACCTCATTACGTCCAACGCCCAAGAGGCCATAGCCGGCCTCAAATCCGGCGCCGTCGAGCCCGCCGACTCCAACGTCATCGCCGCCATCGCCCCCGCCATCGCAGGCTCCTGCGCCCTCCTCTCCATCTTCGACCCGGCTACCTCAACCCTCCGCGTCGCCTGCACCGGTGACTCCCGCGCCGTTCTGGGCTCCATCGCCCCCGGCGCGACCTCGCACTCCGCGCGCGCCCTCTCCAAGGACCAGACGGGCCACAACAAGGATGAGTTTGATCGCATCGCCAAGGAGCATCCGGGCGAGGAGGCGGACATGATCGACACCAAGAGCGGCCGCCTCTTCGGCATCGCCGTCACCCGTGCGTTTGGCGACCACCGCTGGAAGTGGACCGCAGACGCCATCAAGGAAGCCCAGAACGACTTCTTCGGCACTGGCGTGCGACCCAAGTACCTCACGCCGCCGTACATGACCGCCGCACCCGTCGTGACCACAGTTACCGAGATCAAGGGCCCCGACTTTGTCATCCTTGCTTCCGATGGCCTATGGGACCACATTTCGTCCGAAAACGCGGTGGAATGCGTGTCGCGCTGGATCACGGCCAAGAAGGCCGGCGAGAAGACACCGCAAGACAAGCTCGCCCTAAATCCGGGGGTCAAGAGCGAGTTCGACATGTCCGCAGGCTGGGCAAACTGGTACGCCAAGCCGGAGCACTTTGTCGTCGAAGACCTCGACAATGCGGCCGTGCATCTGATCAAGAACGCGCTGGGCGGCACGCGTCGGTCCCTCTTCACCGGAGTCACGCTCGCGTACCCGCCGTTGGCGAGGAACGTCAGGGATGATGTCACTGTTCAGGTCATCTTCTTCCAGGACCCGGCCAAGGAGGCCTGAGGATTCTGGGTTGACTGCCAACATGCAGAGCGATTGAACATTTGCTCATTTTCCCGACTTCAGGGCACGGCGTTAGGTTTCTTGAGATTCAGAGGCGTTTCTTTAACAGCTCAAATGCCATGCCATGGCCCATGACTCTGAGGAGTCCATGATGCAGAGCACCATCATCAACCAACACCAACATCGCATATCATGCTAGCAAAAACACGTAGAAACTGATAAACCCTCGAAAAACAATACAATAACACTATCCATGGCAAAACAAAGATTCCATATTCCATGTCCATATCCTGCCGCCAAACCCCTGTGCACATGATACCTATCAGACGGTACCTGTCGGCAGAATGAGAACGGCAGCCTCAATTCACTCACGTCTCTATAACAACGCGGTCAGAATCACTAAAGCCGGTAGATTGACGGGTCAGAAAACTATAGAATTACGATCTTGAAAACTGGGCACCGTATATCTGCCCTGGAGACTGTATTCCCGGAACTGCCCGTCGGCCGGGGTAGGAAACTTATGAACCCCTAAACGCCATACCTTTATTCGTAACTCAACCTCTGAAGCGCATCAAATAAGGAGGAAATCATCATCAAAGAACTCCAAAGGCAATGCTCTAGCAATGCCAGCCTGCGGAGACTTCTGGCAGTCGCAATTCTCGCAATTCTTGCCATTCTCGCAGCAGTTCATAGGCTCCGCGATGATGAACTCTTCCACGGGATCTTGGGCATCCTCGTGGCTGACAAATTCAAAGGTCTGGACATCGTCCTCTTTCTTGACGAGTCTATACATCATCCCTTGACTCGGGTTCGCACCGGGACGGGACCGATTGTGCTGTGAATATCTGGTGTCAGCGGGGTGATAACGAGATGGCGAACCGATACAGGGTGTACTTACGGGGTCAATGACAGGGGAGAGAGGATAACCCAACGAGAAGGGAGGAATCTCACGATCGGCCTCAACCTCTGGCGCCTTTGAAGCCTCAGCCGCCTTGGCCACAGCCTCGGGCTCGGGACGAACCTCCGCAGAGACGGCGTCCCGCTCGATCTGCTCCTCCGCCTTGGCCGCGGTAGCAGAGATTCGGCCCAACTCTTCCGAGATGGAATGGATCCCCTTCGTCGCCGAAAGCTGCCAGTTCTTGATCATCTCAATCATGTCGGCATACCCCTGCTCAGGGTTGTAAACAGGCTTAGAGGAGACATCAGAAGCCTCGATCTGCTGCTTCTTGGCTTCGTACTCTGCCTGCCGCTTCAGCTGCACCCGCTTCTGCTCCTCTCGTTTCTGCCTCTCCTTGAACTCGTACTCTTGTCGCTGCTTCTGCATGAGCTCGGCCTCACGCTGTCTGACTCCACTCTGCAGCGCTTCGAGCTCCTGCTTGCTCTTGAGCAGAGCTTCGTGTCGCTGCTGCTGCTTGAGCCTAAGTTCTTGTGATGCTTTCTTCCTGCGCTCGAGGTCTTGCTGCTGCTGCTGCTGCTGCTGCTTTTGTTGGAGCTGATACTCCTCTCGCTGTCTCTGCTTGGCTTGCTCTTCCTGACGCTGCAGCTCTGCCTGCTTCTGCTGCAGCTTCTGCCTCTCCTCATCTTGCAGCTTCTCTATCTCGAGATTGCATTCTTGCTGCTTCTTCAACATCAGCCCGACGTAGTCTTGCTGCTGTTGCTTCTCCTGGAGCTCGTACTCTTTTTGCTGCTGCTTCTGCTTGAGCTGGAATTCCTGACGCTGCTTCATCTCGAGCTGATGCTTCTCTAGCGGTCTCTGTTTGGAAAAGTCCTCCTGCCTCTGCTTCTGCTCGAGCTCGTACTCTTGCTGCTTCATCTGGGCCTCTCGCTCTAGGTGCCTGGTGATGCGCTCTTCCATTTGAGTCCGCTTGCGCGTGCGCGCTTCGTCGTGCTTCAGCTGGTACTCTCGCTGCTGCTGCTGATTCTGCTGTTCAAACTCCTGTCGCTGGAACTCTTTCCGTCTCAGCGCCTCTTTCTTCAACTCCTCTTCTTCTTGCGCCTTCTTCGCGCGGAGCTTCTGCTCCTGTAGCCGCTTGCGCGCAGTCTCAGCGGCCTGTCGGAAATGCTCTTGACTGTTCAACGCAGAGGCAACTCCCTCGCGCTGCATATCTACTACTGGCTGTTTCGGATTAGATTCCTTCTCGCGATAGTACGCGTGATTTGCCATCTGAAACATCACCTCCCCCAATACCTTACGCTTCTCTGCTTCGGTCTGCTCGGTAACCGGGTTGCGCGGGGGAGTCCGGCCGCCGCCCGCGAGACAAGGTGCCGGCATATGCTTCTCCTGATGAAGAGGAGGCGGCGGACCATGCTTCGCTCGAGTACCAGAGGCGACCTTCTGGGCCGACTCTGGCGCAACGGGAATGTCCTGTATCATGGTCTCAAGAAGAGACCGATGATAAGGGCCAAAAGTGACTTGGGAGCCTGCCTCTCCCTCCTCGAATTTGGTCCTACAGTACGATTCGACGACCCTCACTGCTTCCTTGGGAGACTCCATCTTCATTCCTGTATCCCCATTCATCCAAACTACGACCGGTTCACGCCGCTTAGAAGTAGAGTCGGGGCGCGTCTGATCCTCGACCTCGCCCTCCGGTTCACCCGAAGATCGCTTCGTAACCCGCAACAGCTCTACAGTCTTGTCTGCACATTTGACCTTCTTCTTGCTGTGGGGATGACCGTGCCTGAGGAAAGAATGGAGACCCGCCTCGGGACCATAGGGGCACTGCGAGGGATCTCTGCAGATGATATCATCCGCTCGCGCAGAGTACGTCGCATCCGAGCCGCGCGTGTGCCAGGCTGCCGATGGATGCAAATTAATACCTCTCCTGTCGGAGGAAAAGGGTGCCTCAGGGGCGTTAATTGCTCGAACCAATCCCGGTAGCGCGGGTGGTTGACTAGAACGCGTCGACGATGCCATGTTAATCCTCTTCTTACTTGATGTACTGGTTAGTAACGTATGATTATTAGACGACGCAGTAACTGACCTCAGGGGCCTAATCTCCGGGTCCTGGCTCTCTCGTTTAAACGGGAGTGATAATGACATTGCGAGGGTGCTAAAGCTTTGGTAAAGAGGAATATGCTTCGAGGAATTCGATCGTGTTCTGGGCAAACTTTTCAGAGGAAGAAAACGTCGATGTGTGTCAGAAGATGAAGGGAAATAGAAATTTTGACAAAAGATCTTATTGCTGGTGCCTAGGATCCATTCATTAAAGTTGCCATGTTTGTGTATCGTATATGGCCTCCTCAAGCATCTCCCACAGGGCTTACGTTGGGGTCAACGGGGCGTTGGTCACGAGAAAGGCATCAGGACACAAAGGTTGAGACTCGCCACAATCAGAAAGGAAAACCGGCCGTACATGTCCTCGCGTGCTCTCATGCGCGACGCGGTAAGGTAGCGTACGAAAAGCTCCAACAAACATACAAAGGGTATCCGCAGAATCGCTTCCGAGCAAATTCCAAACCGCATTTCTTTCGTTCCCTCATCATAGCTCCGTCTTCTTTTCGTTTTCCAAGCTCCAAGTCTTTCTGATCCCAAGTCTAGCTTTGGATATAAGCAGAACTGTAGTCCAAAAATAGAGCACCTATGTCGGCGGACCGCGGGTTGCTCTTGCGAAAAGACATGATAGGTGTATAGGGATGCAATCATTCCTCTCCTCCTGATCCATCCCAATCATTCTCGCCGTCCGAGTCGAAACCAGGATACTCGGACCCTTCATCCTTCAGTCTTGAGGTGGCCTGGGTAATGAATTTCGCGTCCGGCTTCAGGGCCGCGTACATGCTCGGAACCACAGGGACAAGGACTCTGTCAGGCCCTGCTGTAGTCATTGCCTTGATGAACTGCAGTTGAATGCCCGCCATCCGCCAAACAAACTTTGTTTTGCGATTGTAAAACATCTTGAATGTTGTACTGGCACGCAGTAAAGCCCAGGTAGTGTGGTCCTCGCTCGCGTACGTCTGCCTCAGTAAGGCGTCGGTCAGTGGCTCAAGCGCACCATCTGGACGGGGTTCAATCAAGCGCCATTCTTCATACACTTCGAGTATGGCGCGGTTCATGTCGTCCTTGTCTTTGCTCGAGCCAACCTTTTCGCTCCAACTCTTTTCGGCACCCTCCAAGTCGGTCTTCAGATTTCGCAAAATCTTTTTTAACGCCGGGTCCTTCGTTGCATGTTTCCCGAAAGCTTCATGAAGCTTGGTGAGATCAGGATCCCACAGTTCCGCTGTTAGCTCCTCTTCGCTAGCTTTGGTTGAGCGAAGAGATCGCAGCTCATACCCAGATTCATTCGACCTCGTGACCATTGACTTGTGGAACTTTGCCAGTTCCTTTTCAATGGCTGGCTTCGCCACCACGAACCTTAAGATGTCGATTATGTGGACTGGTGACCGGGGGTGCGACCAACATTCAGACTTGTAAGCCGGCTCTGGCAGACCGTTAAATTGGTGACTGTCGAGCCGCTCTCGGCAGAACCTGTACCAATCTTCTTCTGTAAAGTCAAAGCCCTGTTTGGCCTGGTCAACAAGGTTGCCCAGAAGAGCGCTCAACCAGAGGGCGTAATGGTTGTTCACGCTGTTGAGATAGTAGCAAAGCCTCTCTTTGTACGCGGTCACAATACCCAAATAGCTAGGCTTCATGCTGAAGGCAATGCTGCGGTCGATCATTTCCGATATAGCCTTTTCGCCTTGCTGTTGAACAAGATCCCCAAACGTTGTTTTGTCTTTCCTCAAGTAGCTTGATAAATTGGGGCTCGGCGGTACCTCTGCGTTTTCAAAATTAGACACAATTGCTGGCTCCCAGCAGACCCACGCCTTGTCGCCATCATAGTCACCACCTGACAATTTGTCTGCAAGAGGGACGTTTCCTTTGGCTGAGAAAATAACGACGTCTTTGAGAGCGTGTAGCTCTGGTTTGAATACGGCCTTCACCCTCTGAATATCGCTCACAAAATGCGCCGGAGAGCGAGCCACGAGGACGTCGCAACCATGGAGCATGGAGTCCGAAAAGGTCTCTGTCTGGAACTTTGACGAAAAGCATAAGTGCACTTCGTTCTCTTCGAGTATGTTCCACATGTCGACCACCATGAAGAAGTAGGCTGAGTTGGGCACCTGGATGCTCATCTTCTTCAACAGATTTTCGCACTTGCTTCGCCTTAAATTCCAGGCAATCTCTTGGAGAAACTTCTGCTTCAGTGGCTCGAATCCACCATCCAGAAGGAAGTTCATGGTCTCTTCTTGCGAGTCCGGGAGACCAGCCAAGAAAGGCACCCGTCCACAGGTAAGCCGCTGCTTTCTTGTGGAAGAATTTTCAACATTCCATTTGCGGAACTCCAAGGGATACTTCATCGCGTTCTTTTGCTCCTCTAGCGACCGATATAGTTCGTTCTCAAGGATCTTTCCAATAGTGTGTTTCATTGCGTCTCTGTCTTTGGCTCGGTCTTCGAGGACTGGAAGGAACTGAACGTTGAGGCTCGCAGATCGTGGTTCCATCGAATGAGCACGAATTTCGAGCGTGCGATGCTGCGGGTCAACATAGTCACAGTTCCACTTCCGTTGAGACGGCCAGGTCTCTATCCACAGACTGTCGTCGTCACCAAAGACATCGGTCATCCACATGCCCTTGGCAGGACCAAAGCGAGCCTGAACAGCAGACGGAACATCACTTAGTCCAAGAACATCTCTGACTTTGCGAGCAAGTGCGCGAGACATGAGGCCGATTCCATCGTTCATGACCATGCCAGTCGGCGAGAGTATGTCCTTTTTCTGGTGACGTATTTGATTGGGCTCGAGAACGATCACTGGCGTCGTTTTGCTCAATCCTATAAAGCGGATCAGTAGACATTACAGACTGCAGACTTGAGGGCGCCTCTCTCACCAAGCTGGATACGGGAGAACAACTTGAGAAGTGGCTGTTCCTTGTTGTGCTCAAATTGAAGAAGCCAGTCGAGCATCTCCCCAGTGCTGAGCTTAGCCCTAAACTCCCGAGGATTGTCATGAGAAGATTTTCCGAGAGGGAGGGCTGCATGGAAGTTGTTGCCGTTCTCGGCAAAGAGACTGATTTTGTCTTGATAGACGGGCTTTGGCTCAGGGCCCATAGTCAGGTTTTTCTGTGGCGTCTTGTATCCGGCGTCTCTGGAGAAGAAAGCCCGCCACTGCCTGCCTGCGAGGTAATGCCGCTTTGAAGAGAACCAATGGACGACCTCTTGTGACACTTCGGGCTCTTTAATGGGTTCATGCCACCCTTTGGGATTTGGGATCAATATTTCGAGAAACCGATCGGAACCGAAATGACGGTGCAAACGACAGCCTTGATCCAAGGCGATGGGCTGCATCGACAATGAGAACATGGGACCCTTCTTCTTCGCTCGAGGAACTTGATCAAAACGAGCAGAAAATACTACGTGCTGTCCTCGGACTGTGTTAAAGCCAGACATGGCAGCAGCCCAAGCGTCCGTACTAGGACGCTCAGGGAATGATTTGCCAGCGAAACCGGGATGGGCTAAAAGTGACTTCCACAGCTGGTTGTAGTTGATCCACGATTCGTCATAGTCCATCATCACTTCTCCAAGGTCGACTTCGCAATGCACTGCGATGCGCGTCATTTCCCATGCGACAGCGAATGGCGCGCGGTTGAGCCACCTGGGAAATCTGGCTGGCAAAATGGTTAGCACTTGGTCGATTCAACCCCGTATCAATAGTTCGGGCGGCGGCCTCAACGTCCATCAGCGGAAGAACTTACGCCACGAGGCGTCAAGACGGGATCGAAGATCAACCGGCTCGGATCGTTTGAGAGGAGTGGAGACTGGCTCGCACAAGCATGGATCTTGAAGACCCGAGATCTCTGAGTAGATGGTTGATCTCTTAGAAGGGCTGGCGAGCGGTTCGGGACGGAGATCTGCTGGTGTTCTAGACCTCTTCTTCGCGGATTCTACTTCGTGTTCCGTGAAGGAGATATTCAGTGCATCGAGATGACCAGAAGATGCTGGGAAAAGCTCCTGCGACTGTGAGGAATTCGGTGCTTGATCCAGAAACTCCCGGCGCATCTCTTCTTCCTCAAGAGGAACTGGGACTGTCTCTTGGGTGCACGGTAGTCGATCGTCTACCTTGGAAAAGAGTGACGTCCGACTAGTGCTCGCAGATGTCGTGTGAGAAATGGTCCCGCACACGCTTTGGCGCACAGAAGTCGAGGTATAGAGGGAAGTATCGAAAGACTTGTTCGGCCTCCAGGTCTCCCTGGTGAACTGTGCCGGCATGGCCTCGGGTATTGCTGATCGAGAACGACTTGGAATTTTGTCCAGAGCATTGGAAATCACACCTTCTCTCTCCTCTCCCCGTAAGGGGCTTCCCCTGACTCTCTTGGGTGATTCGGCTTTGGTGTCTATTTCGGATCTCCTCTTTGACTTGCTTGATTCAGTCGAGGCGAAGACTGCTGGTCCGGTGTGATTCCGAGTTAATTTGCGTGCCTTGACCTGAGCATGAGCCTTATCCAATATATCGCTGAGAATTACCTGCAACTCTAATAATTGGCCAGGTGACTCAGCCTTGGGAGCCCCTCCAGGTCCCGGGATAGGTTCGGCATCATTAAATAACCGGATCCACGTCTCACTAGCAGCTCTAGCTTCCATGTGAAAGGAATTGAGAATCCTATCCAGCAAGTTGCTTTGGAAGCAATGGAATCGGATATCACGGACAATCTTTTCGCTGCGGGCAAAGGCGGTATCCTGTTCGGCGCGCTGCCGGGTCGAGGACGGTGTAAGTGTCACATCGGGTATCTCAATGGCGAGGTTGTATTCTCGATTGAGCTTATCAATGACATCTCTGACTCGGTCGGTTTGGGTAGGTTTCTTCGGGGTTCTCGGAGCTGACAGGGCGGACTTCGTGTGCGGTGCCATGGTCGGATCGAGGAGCTTTGAGCGGAAAGGGAGGTCAGAATCCAAGTCCATGTCTTAGCTTCGAGGGCACGCCTACAACTGAGAATAGTGAGTGGAAGGCATAGATTCGGCCTCATAGCCTATCGTATTGCGTTGCCACTTATCCAAGAAGCATCGAGTAGAAATAGGCCAGGCTATGCCATGTCGATATTCGCAAGTCAGGAAAGAAGTTGAAGTACTAAGAAGTCATTTTGCGTGTTGGTCGCAGCGGCTCGGCGGGGTAAACGATCGGTGAGGAAGGGAGGCCGCAGGCGCAGCAACAGTAGAAAAAGCCACAAAACAAGGGTCGAAGGAGGGGAGAAGGGAGCAAAAACTTCGTGTTGGGATGCAGCCTTCCGGCGTCGTCCTTGGGAGGAGGAGGAAGAGCGGCTGAGGATGAGGATCGCCGGGATGTCGCAGGCCGCAGCTCGCAGTGAGGAAGGGAGAGGGAGAGGTACGAAGGTACTTGCATCACACTGCAGGACGGGAAGGAGCCAGAGTGGATCCTGCGCGAGCTCAATGATTGGACGAGAAGCACGGACATCTCGCGACTGGCGCTTAGCGCGAAAGCGTCGAGAAACGGCTGAAACGTTGGCCAATCACCGCTCTCAAAGTGGATCTCGGAGGTGGGAGTCAGCACAGACCACCAGCGGGATCTGATGGGGCTAGCGCAGGGACGTACCTTCAGCTCCCTTCCCCGCCGTCTGCTCACAAACCAACACCAACCAACACCAGTCATCACCAAGAAGCATCGACTTGATTAACCAACTTTACTTCATCTACTCGAGACACGGGCTCATTCAATGCTGCTTCTTATGATTTCCATATTGGCACGAGGTCTGGGAAAGCTACACATATCCGCCGTGAGGATCCAGGCAAGATTCGAGCGTCTCCGCAATATGTGCTATTGGGATGTGATAGACGACAGATAGCAGACCTTCATCGAATAGATGGCCTACTCGTTGCTACAGCATTTCGAAAGCATCCACAGAATATTCCATCAGATATACCAAGATCACTGCTGCCACTTTCAGGGGATTTCTCGGGAGATTCTCTCACGAAAGCTACCAAGATTTCTCAACTTCGGAGCACCATGCACCATGTTCAGCATCTAAAGGCGGCTTTCTATCTGTACTTCTGACGGATTCGATGTCGCTCCTGAGGCTTCAAGACTTTGTTCCTGCGCCAAGACCTGTCTGAATACCAACTCGACATCATGTTCATGGATCCAAACAGGCTCAACCCGATTCTTCATCCTCGCCCGCAAGTCATCATCGTTCTCCACCACAGCCAACCTTTCAACCTTTTTCTTATTCGTTGAATGAACCGTATCAAGCACTCTGTCCGTGTGCGACTTCCGGGTCTTCTCATACAACTTCAACGCTGTCGCAATGTCTGCTGCCGATGGGAGCTCCGTAGCCGAAGGAGGAAACACGTGCTGGATCGATGCCGCAAAAGCCCAGGCATCGTCAATCGCGAGACTTCCACCCGCAGCGAAAGCTCCACCATGGGCGTGCGCTGCATCACCAGCGAATGTTACCCTATCCTGGCCTAGAACCCAGCTCTCTAGCCCATGGGCAGAAGCGTTGGGGTACACCTTCAATGAATCCGCAGGCGTCGCTTCGATGATTTCGCGCACCAGGCGGTGCCATTCGCTGTAGTGCTTCTTGAGCAGGTTGATGTCGCTGCCAGTATTCCACACTGTGTCTTTGTACAGCGCATCTGGTGCGTCAGGGTCGCTTTGGTGAGAAGCGACGATACAAAAAAGATTCTTGCCGAGCTTCGACATGAACCACGTCCGATCGATACCCCACCAGTGCTCCGCCTCGTCTGGAATATCGGGAATGTGAGACAGATGGGAGACGGGGTAAACCGCGCGGAATGCTGTCCAGCCGGTCCACTTTGACCGAGATGATGGGACGTAGAAGCTCCGCACGCCAGAGTGGATGCCGTCTGCGCCGAGGAGGATGTCTGTCTTGACGGCGGTGCCATCGGCAAATGTGATCCTCAGCCTACCTGTTGACTTTTCATTCTCGATATCTTTAAAGGCCTTTTTGAGGTGAATACGGGCAGGGTCGATATGCTTGAGCAAAGCTTGCTGCAGATGTGGACGGTGGAATCTTGCCGTCTTATGGCGCGCTTCCACGCTTCCGTGGTGCTCATCTACCGAGACGATCTCACCAGTCTTGTAATGGCTAAACGTATGATCAGGTCCAGCCACCAAAAGGTATAATGTCGGCATACTCACCGGTAGATCATTGGATAACCCGATTTGTTGCGGAAAGCAATCGAATCGTCCAAGGCATTGTGAACACCCAGTTTTTCCAACGTACGCAAGCCATTCGGCCCCAGAGCTATAGACGCGCCGACTTCTCGTAGCTCTGTCGCCTTTTCATAGATCTGAACGTTGATTCCAGGATGCTCTTTCAACGCGATCGCGGCTGTCAAACCGGCGACACCTGCGCCGATGATGGCAACTTGAAGCTGCTGTGGCTGGCTTGTACTCCCCATTTCGTTGTTTCGAGTTCCCAGTCAGACTTCAAAGTTACTTTACAAAACACTTTATCTGCACATCAGAGCTGCAGAAACCGGGTCATGCAAGCACTTTTATCAAAATACCCATGTTCTCCGACAGTTGGCCGCCCACGGCTCCAGATTGGAGATAACGACAGCCTCGGTGGGGTCGGGGCCGAGCCCGGCGTGACGCCATATCGCGCCGCGATGGTGATACCGCATCTGACACCCCGCAGCAACACCCTGATTCCCGTAGTTGGCCGTGTTTGACTGGATTGTCGGTTGAGAGCTTGCAGAATAAGGATTTTCTCCGCAGCCAATCCGATGGTTTAGCCTGGTCTCGCATCATCCCAGCCCACAATGAAGACACACGGGTGGCATGTTTCACTCCGATATGGTAGCTAAGCGTCGGGCTTGGTCCGACGTTGTACACGGAGATGAGGCGGCGACCATTCCCTCGGGCCGGAAGTCGGGGATGATCAGAATTCAACGATGGCCCTCACTATCGTGCCTCCAAGCGATCCATCTATGGAAGCATGCAGTGAGATAGCCAAACTGATCTCTACGGTATCCTCAAAGACCCTCAGTACTTGCAAATCATACCTGATCAATACACATTATCAACTTGATTCAGTCGCAGTGCTATGAGAATCTACTTCTCAGTCATTCTGCACATGTACAATGGCATGTTCGCACCATCAACAGGTGCTTATGCCAGTTCCCGTCGCTCAATCAACACCTCCAAACCATCTTGTACAACAAAGAAAGTAGCACTCGCTCTTAATGGTCGGCCAGGATGCGCCAGCTCGAACTTGAAGTCTCTGAAGAGACGCGGCGCGACCTTGTTGATTTCTAACAGAGCTAGATTTCGGCCGATACAAACATGGCTTCCACCGCCAAACTGGACATAATCGTTAACTTGAATAGCGTCAGAATAGCCTGGTCTACTCACTTGGAACATGTATCGCTCCATCCGCTTCGCTTCCTCAACATCTGCAAGCCACCGCTCGGGGCGATAGTCATCAGCATCTTCGCCAAATGTGCGCTTATCGCGGTGCAAGACCCAGCCGTTGACGGCCACCTGCGTCCCACCAGGGAAGAGTCTGCCGTCGAGTTCGGCTCCTTCTGGTGGAACCACGCGGCTGATGTTAAGTCCTACTGCTGGCCGCACGCGCATAGCCTCTTTCAGACATGCTTGAAAATACGGCAGTTCCTGGGCTTCTTTCCAGGAGATGTTGCCAGTTGGGGGCATCGCCCCGGATTTGACAGCATCTTCGATCTCAGCAACCAGTCTTGAGTGGATATGTGGCGCCGAAAGGATGTGCCAGAAGAGTGATTGCATGGTCGAAGCTGTTGAGTCTGATCCAGCGAAGCTTTTGCATGTTCGTTAGTCCTGGGCATCGACTGTTATCACGCGTTGATCAGACTTACATGGCGCCGTGGGCAACAGCAAAGACATCACCTTCAGTGAATCTCTCAGTATCCTTCAAGTGTCCCTTGATCAAACTTGCCAGCAGATCTTGCCTCCCATCATCATTCCTCAGCTTGCCCTCACTCTCCTTATCAAAAGGCCGTCTTCTCTCCATTTCACTCAAAGCAATTCGGGTGATAGGCGCATTCTTGTTATTCAGCGTTGGGAATAGGTTCCACAAAGGGTTCCGCCGCAAAAGCAAGTCAACCCACGGAACCTGACCAACAATTCCATTGTACGCCTGTGAGCGGTCAATAGTGGCAATGGCATCCTCCACATCTCTGCCTTCGGCCAGGAACCCGAAGCTCCGTGAGAAAGCCACCTCCCCAAGCACGTCAAACGCAAAGTAATGCAGCCATGCCCCAAGGTCGACATACTTGTCAGTCTTGTACTCCATAGGCTGCGACGTGAACCCGGCGAGCTTAGTAACCAGCAGATCGATAGTATCATCAATGAACGGGCTCAGCTGCTGCATCGCCGCCATGCTATACGGAACATTGGCGACCTTCTTCTTCCTCGCATGGGCGTCCTCGTTGACCTCCGTGAAGATGTCTGGGTTCTCCGGCGGTGGAAAGACGCCATAGAACGCCGTCTTATAGAACCGCTTGCCGGCGCTCAGGACGTGTCGCGCGGCCTCGGGCGAGGCGATGGACACCTCATTCGGCGCAATACGCACGACCGGGCCATATTTTCTGTGGAGGGCTATGTGATCGAGGTGCGTTCGTCGCGATGCTGTAGATAAGACTTTCCATAGACGGGTGGTTGAGGCAATGAACGGCCCGGGGTATCGACGGAGCGGGGATAGGTAGCGGGTTCGGAGGACGTTGACTAACACGGCGAGAGGGAGTAGAATCGGCCAGTATTGTCGGAGAAAGAGCCCGGCGACTTCGACGTAGGTGTGACTGGTGTCATTTGGGTCTAATGCGTCTATTGGAGAGTCCATGGTTGGTCGGGATTTACCTGACAAAGCTGGAATAGGCACGATCAAGTGCCCAGGCGATATCAACCTTTACAAATTTACCGCAATTCAAGAAACAAGATCACGACTCGAGCCTTTGATGAACGACTCACGCCAAGGTTGACCGTCACGGATGGCACGAGATAGATATCTTGCCTTCCTTCGTATGCGATCTACATTATACGCGTCTGGCAAACCCGATAATCATCTCAGACATAAATCCGTCTTCCAAGCCCGCTCCGAAACCCAAAGACTTGACATCACCAAACCTTAGGAATACTGCTAGATGAACATCACTCTCTCGCAGGTCGAAATTACGTCGGCGACACAACTGGCGTCCGAAGAAAGCTTAAACGGCCAATGAAAGAACTGCCGACGCGAATTGGCCATGGCGAGCACGGGGAGCCGGGAGGTGGTGATGCGGGGAGGGCGGACGATGCGGAGGTGGCTTTCGTCACCGGGTCATCCTGGGGAAGGTTAGCCAGAGATAGACTACGGAATTACGGAATTAGACGTCCACGGTGCCGAATATGCAACTTTTGCGAGAACGATCTCAAGGAGAGATAACCTGATGCCGTCAGATTGTGGTACTATAGAATTCAAATGCAGACCGGAGGGATCGTTATTTCTGGAATGAGTCGGCAGTACAGGCAGGCTTTTGATATCACGTCGGCCTAGAGGGTGACAACGTTGCTGGAATGGTAGCCACCACCCTGAACTCAGGGTGACTATGGATATTTCCAAAACGAACGCAAATAGGCAAGAAAGTGTTCCTGGAAGCTGCTGGGAGTTACCACCTGGACTTCAGATGGAATCATCAGAGTTCCGCTGATCTGACTGGTGCCTATCGAGAGATCAGAAAACCGCCCCAAAGATATCAAGAGCAAAAAAAGTATCAAAGACGGGCCGAACCCAAGACTCCGGGTTGTGGGTTTACTTCTGCAAGGGAAAAAAAGAGACGACTTTTCCCTTTGTTACCGTGACCGTTGGAACGCAGTCGGGTTCCCCAGATCGGCGGACACGCGGTGACGGAGCCTCAAGTTCGATCTAATCTCAACTACCGAGTCTGCACTGCGCCCGCATTGCGGGCATTGCGGAGCATATGGATCCCCCCCTTTCATCGCGGGGAGAGGTTTTGACAGATCGGTAACTTCTCGGCAACGGGCGATGGCCAGGGCCCCTCTGCTCTTTTCTTCTGCTTGGACGCCCGGGTTTCTCTCACTTTTGATTGAGAATCAGGGGAAGGGCAAAGATCGAGGAGAGAACACTGCGAATCGGGATTGGGTACTTGGCAGCGGGATCGTAGACAGAGACGAGACAGCCGCTGAAGAAGAAGAACCAAAGAGGATCCACAATCGGGAACCGCGGGAAGGTAGACGCGGAGCGATACCGGGCTCCCACTGCATCACCGGCCGGGTGATAGCCCGAGCTTCATTTTCGCGGGGTGACTCGGGACGGGGAACGGGCGTACGACGTTATGGACGGGACTTATGGAGGTCACGGCATTTTCTGCTTGAGGTATGTATGGGTTTCCACAAGTAGGTTGGGCTGATCGTTGTGAGGACTCGCCAAAGCCTGAACTTTCCGAGTCAGGCTTCCCCGTTGGAAGCACAGGTCGTGTTCTTTTCCCTACCGAGGAAACAGGGAGGTGATACGACGTCTGCCTTTGCTTTACGGATAACGTGGGAGAGAATACGACGGGCGACCTGTCGTCAGGTACCAGCATGGTGTCTAGGCGTTCACCCAACCACCTACCAACGGGCTACGGAAACACGTTCATCGATCCCTCTTGGGGGAAAGCATGGCTCTTTGTGAGCTTCTTGACTCGCTAGTGTTGGAAATCTTGTGACACCAACGGCTGTGATTTGCCAGCTCGTTTTGTGAAGAGGTTGGAACGAAACGTCTCTGAGTCGACTCGAGTCAACTGAGGTTTGACAGAGAACAAAAAGAGGTGTTCCCTCATGCCAAGTCTAGACGCCCGTGGTCACGTTGTGGTCACGGGCCGGATTAGTCCAGCGACGACTCGGATTAGTCCATACTGAATAATCTGTACGGACATAATTATCACCGCATCTCAGTGATCTGAATCTCATGGCCAGGGCGAGAGCATTATCACAGCCCCCTTGGGATATTGCGATGCGAATCATCCTGACTGCTACGCTATGTCGTCAGGGCTGTCCAGCGGTAGCATCTCTGATTCGCCCGGGTAGCTTGGATATCCATGAGGCTAGGATTGCAATCTGTCTTCGCTTATGATCATGAACCACCCGCGGCCTCTTCCGAGGTTTGGACATTGACCACGTCGTTGATGGAAGCCGTCAACGTTGCTGTCATTTATCAATGGTCGGGGGCCGCCCCGAGGGCCGAGTGACAATGGAGCCTGAAGGACGACGAGGTAGGTCTTCGTGGAGGGGCAGGACAAAAAAAAAGAAGGCAGGGTCCCCCGCTCCAAGACGACAGCGGGCGTCCGAGCTGTCCGACACAGCCAAGAGCATGATGTCCAAAGAAGCAGGAGGGGAGATGATCCGCGGCCAGACCCGGGGTCTGGCTGAACCTTGATTTTTTCTGTGTCTGTGAGCTCCCAGCTTTGACGGACGAGAAATGCGGCCCCGCCAGCGAGGCGGCTTGAGTTTCGTGGGCTTGCCAAGGGTCCCGGGATGCTCCCAGAAACGTTCCGCCAGCGGCAGGGAGTTGCTAGAGCCAAGTTTGACTGAGCTCACCATAGTTAGAACACCCAGGGAAGGAAAGGTCAGAGGGAGTGGAGGGGTATGGCTTCTCATCCGGTTCGGTCTTTTAGAAAAGCCCCCCCTGCAGGGACTGTTT